GTCGGAATAGTGGACTAGCAACATTGTAATTGACAAGTTATTGAATCTTTCTAAAGACGCTAAAGATTCCCGTATTTGAATACTGTTTGTCTCCATCAATGATTGAAATGCACTCATTTCATGTGCTATGGAGACTTGCATTTCTTCAAATTGTCTAGGAAAATGTTTGGTTACGTGTTCTACACTATTGAATGGCGTGTTAGCCATATGCGAACCCGATGGTTCAATCATTGCAAGTGATGTACTTAGTTCAATCTGTTCACTTTAAGGGCCTTCATAAACGATATCAGCGAGGTTTTATTGACTAAAGTAAAATTCTAGATAATAAATTAAAATATATGAAAACGTAAAATATAATAAAATTCTTCCAATTATAGACCCTTCTACGTTAACCAACAGTTCAAATTACAATGAATGTATATATAAATTATTAGAAAAAAATTTGAATAAATTTGACATAAAATGCTTTTCTAAATTATATTTAATTGCTTCAGTATATGAACAAGATAGGTATGCCATGCCTTACGCCCTGGTAAACATTACCATCTTTCTCCACTAATAAACAAACGTTGTTTTTTAAAAACAACAATAATGGGATTAGTTTCTTAACAACAACAAACCAAAAGTTAACAATAACGAGAAGAAGAAAAAGCCGAAAGTAAAACAATATTTCGAAAAGTCACATTGCATTTTTGTAGAAATATCACCCCATTTACATATATATTTTTACCAATATTATTAGCCTTACAAAGCACATGTACATAGTCTATTGCGTGATGTTCCTGCAGGAACGTTGTTCACATGCAAGGTGTTAACAGCAGCCCAGTTATCCATGGTAAAATATCAGAGAATATTTGTGGGATTTTACCTAATTTAAATAACATATTTATCTAACACGATGCGACATCCATCTCATCAACAACAAATTTCTGGATTGATATAGCAGAAAAAGTATCATTCTCTGCACTTTTTAATTAACATTGCCAACTCCATGACAGTAATTTCTGCGAGGGATGGACAAAACTAAAACAAATTTAGTCGACGACCGATTTATTTATTTTTTTTTTTTACTTTTTTTTCAAAGTAATATTAGTTAAATTATCCATATGGCAACCCTTTTATTATTAATGGTTGCTGCAATATATAAAACTTCCTTTGATACGCAATATTAGCAATTGGAGAAAAAATCAATTTTCTTTCCGAATTATTGCTGAAGATTTTTATCTTCATTGAGAATTTATTACTTGGTTTATTAAGCCATAACAACATTTCATTTCTTAACGATGTTGATGTTTATTCTTGAATTCGCTTGTAATAAAAAGAACATGGTTTCTGAATAGAATTGAAGAGATCTCTTTGGTTACTCAATCATGTAGATAAAATAGAGGTTTTTTGAGGTTAGTTCTATGGCTGTAACACGAAGTCGTCCTTGATATTAAATGGGATGAAGTTCAAGCCATGATTGGGTGGGCGCTATAACAACATAACACCTCGTTGTTTAGCAACATTTCGATACATGTTTACCTCAATTTATCCATTTTTCCGCCTCTGTTATGTTCATTGTTAATAGAGCCCGCTTTACATACATAAATTTCTGTTTCCTCTATTAGCTAGTTTACTTCTTTAAAATTTCATACATGAAATAACAAAAAATCTGTAAGTAAAATCTTTATGTTGTCCAGTAGCTTTCAAGGATATCGAACTGTTCCGGACTAAGACGTTTGCGAGACTAAAGCGAAAGGGATTATGTTGCAAAGTGCTGCAGTAGCGCAGCGAGTCCACGTCTTCACCGAGCAGCAACAAATACCGCAGTATCTTACGCCACATGTTGTTGTTGTTGCAATTCAATTGCAACGGACTCCGAGGCAAAATAGATGAGATAGTGGAATTTATGAATCGGAGGAATATTAGGATCATATCGGTGCAGAAAATCAAGCTGAAAAAAATTGTAGCCTACAGCGTTGTGGGGGATTGCGTTCCTGTTACACCATTCTCTTCAGTACAGACATATCTCGCTTGAGCTAGTCTCTAGTGTCACATACATGGAATGTATGGGGGTAGCATTCAAGTGTGGAACTGCCGAGGTAGAGGTGCTTAGTGTGTATATCCCGCGATTAATAGCTGTGAACCAAGTTATTTGGATATGAGGATATCCATATACCCAAGAGGGTCATCTGTCGATGTATATATGTCGGTCCTGAAGGTTTTAAATTGTTTTACAATCAAATCTATGGCAGTTCTGGAATGCAGAAATACTCTGGAAAATTTTAAGCCGTCTGTCAAACTATATTGGGTCCCTGATCGTTGTAACATATCTGGCGAACGACGAATTTTTCGCGGTGTATGTTCGTCGTCCAAAATAAAAAACATATTGCTAGGAACACAATTGGAGCGAACGACGAATTTCGCCCTACGCAGCGACAAAATGAGCCGCGAAAATTCGTCGTATGGAACACAATACCGACGAAATTATAAAACAGCTGATGAAGTTGTTTACTTTTTGCTCATTTGTTGACTACAATGAATTATACAAGAACACATAATTCTTTACGTTCTCTATTATAATTTCACTTATGTCCATCTTCTCTATTATAAATTCACTGATATCCATCTTCACTCAGGCGCAAGTACACAAATAAATAAACAAATTAATTATGTTAGTAACAGATAGTAGAGTGACCATAACAAATTTTAAAGTAAAAAGTAACTTTATTTACTAAAACACATAAAATTCGTACAAGTATGGCCACCTTGTACTATTTTGTTCGCCGGTCGCCGGCGTATGAAATAGAAATAAAGCTAATTGAGTTCGCGGCGACCGACGAAATTTTCGCCGGTGCCGTGATTGTGTGCACTTCCATATACACATATGTGTTTTATTTTTGACGACGAACATACGCCGCGAAAAAATTCGTCGTTCGCTCCAATTGTGTTCCTAGCATATGTGTGTATGGAAATGCACACAATCACGGCACCTTCGAAATTTTCGTCGGTCGCCGCGAACTCAATTAGCTTTATTTTATTTCATACGACGGTGAACGGCGAACAAAACAGTACAAGGTGGCCATACTTGTACGAATTTTATGTGTTTTAGTAAATAATGTTACTTTTTACTTTTAAAGTTGTTATGGTCACTCTACTATCTGTTGCTCGTATAAAAAACATAATTAATTTGTTTATTTATTTGTGTACTTGCGCCTGAGTGAAGATGGATATCAGTGAATTTATAATAGAGAAGATGGACTTAAGTGAAATTATAATAGAGAACGTAAAGAATTATGTGTTCTTGTATAATTCATTATAGTCAACAAATGAGCAAAAAGTAAACAACTTCATCAGCTGTTTTATAATTTCGTCGGTATTGTGTTCCATACGACGAATTTACGCGGCTCATTTTGTCGCCGCGTAGGGCGAAATTCGTCGTTCGCTCCAATTGTGTTCCTAGCATTAGTCAGTAGATGTAGAGATTGAGACCTCAGTGAAGCCACCCTTATGTCACTTCTTCCAAGTACAACACAAACATTACACTGGGTGATTTAAACAGAACTGGCTGACTGGAAGGGGATGTAATGTCTCCAAGAAAATATGGCCGGTGATGTCAGATCAAGATCATTCTGTCCGACTTGTCCGAAACCATACCTACCTTCAAACTCTTTCCTTCTTCTCTATTTCTCTGTTTCATTTCATTTTAATTTCTCAAACCAGGATGAACGCAAAGGGTCAGCATGTCATCGAGTGAAGTGGTTGTTCAAACATCTGCGCATTCTATAACCTAACCTATCCCAAACAAAAATGCCAACCCCGTTACATTTAGCCTTTTTATAAATTCCACTATCTCATCATCTGTTGCAAACACAAGTGAGCTAAGATGCTGTGGTATAGGTTGTTTTTCAGAAGACATCAGAACTACGTGCTTATAGCGCATTGCAACGTAAACCCTTTCGATGTTGTCTCGCAATAGGGAACAATTCCTAAAATTCTCACAAATGCCTTCAGATCTGGGCTGTATGATGTTTTGACAAACAGGACAGAAGCATGATAAGGAATTTTCTTCAATTCCGGGGTGCACGAAAAGAAATTCCTATGCTATAAGAGAGTCTCTAGATCAGGGAGCTTTTCAGCAGGTCTGAGTGGCATTCTATGCCAATGATAACTATGGTATGAATGTCGCCCATTGAGTACAACCCCTCCACAAATTGCAGCCGATGAACTTCCTCTGAATACAGAATACTGTGTTGTTTTGACTCAATTACGTTCAGGATGGTGCAGCCGTCCCAATACGTATTGTGCACGAACTGATGAAGATGTGCGAAACCGTAGAACTGGATGATAGCCGGATGCGTAACTAGTTGGACTATTAATACTGGATGAAAAACTAGACCAAATATCAATCGTAGTACTAAAAGAATGAGTAGATCATTGCCTAGTTATTCTTGCTCGGCTCTTGACGAAGCGCACGGATTTATAGAATATTAGGCAAAACTACTCAACACCTGTGGGAACCTTCGGTAAATACTGCTTTTACTGGATTGACAATCCCTGGTCGAGTGGAACTCGGGCAGCTCCGGAGCGTAGATCCGATTATCGTTTTTGAACTGTTTATGCTTAGCAGCTCATATTCAATCTGCTAAGGGAAGATATAGATTTTTTTGTTGTTATCTGTTTTCATATAAAGTCAATTTTATTATTCTCCCAAAACCATTTATGGGAAGAGAAATATTTTTTTTTTCAATTTTTTATTCAATTTCACATAGAAGTGTACTTCACCGAATACTATTTTAAATAATAAATTATCTTACCAGAACAGTGTTGGCATTTTTGTTCGGGATACCGTAATATTTCCGAAAACCTAGGTATTCCCTACCCTGGTAAGCATTACCATCTATCTCCAATAATAAACAAACGTCTTTATAAAAACAACAATAATGGGATTAAGACTGACTATTTTGCAACAACAAAATTAATCTTACCGCAGTTTTTAGAAAATGATCTTTTGAAAATTTTAGTGCTAACGAAATTTATTTTAACTATTACAGGATATTTTAATTTTGATGTGAATTTTACTTCTGCTGATCAGGATTTGCTGCGCCCGACACAAATAGTAGTATTACAACAGGTACGATGTAAATCCACTGAAATTAAAAGAGCACAGTATTAATAAGTATTTTTTGACAAACCCTATAAAATGATCAAGACATAAGTATACAACTAATCATAATTATATTCCTAGTATTAACTGAAATACGTTCTGCCTTACTTTAAAATCCTCCAAAACAATACAGGTATTTAGACATAGAAATTAAACAATAAGTTTAGTGTTAGGTTATAAATACTTCGTCCCATTGTCACTCCGTTTTTAACTCTTCGGAATAATCATATTCTACCATTGAAAGTATATTTATTGTTAATCAACATAATAACTTTCCCACGAATTGCGATACAATGTTTGTGAATGGACCTTGTCGGAACATGTATACCTCTTGTCATATGGTATTGTGACGATTTAAGCCACATTGGTAACCGAATTGCTTCAAATTTGGTATTTAGAGTTCGAAATGTGGTTTAACTCCTGTGGCAGAAGATTGGCAATATATATTCACATTGTCATTTAGACCCAATATAACTGTACCTGCCCATATTCATTATTTTGACTATTTCAGCCACTTAGCAGTTCTAGCCATTTCCACGGAATTGCTTCAACTTTTGTATTTAGAGTTTGTACTAGGTTTCACCTCGTGTGACAGAACATTGTATATATAGCATCTATATTACAGTTCCTCCAGTATTCATTGTTTTTAGACACATTTTGAACGATTTTTTTTTAAGAAATCATTAAAATTAAACAAAAACATAACCCCTACCCGTCATTTCTCTTGGCTCAGAAAATCTCCTGATAATCTTCATAAGCAGGTCGCCCGATTTCATAACCTCTGAACACTAAACTTTCCTTAACCATGAGAAAGCTCACTGGACATAGTTCAGAGAATTTACCAACCGCCGATTCACGGAACTGCCCAATTCTCATATTCGATCTCTTCCCGCCGAGGAGGAACCACCACAGTTTACGATGGGTGATGTTGCAAATGTCATCTGTAACGCTAAGTCATCCAAAGCGTTGGCCCCGGACAGAATCTCAATGGTAATGTTCAAACAGCTGGATAAGCCGGGAGTCGAGTACTTAACGAAAGTTCTCAATTTGTCACTAGCCACCCACATAGTGCTCGAAACCAGGAAAATGGGCCGGGTGGTCCCGCTACTGAAGCCAGGCAAGGATGCCAGTAAAGACGAAGCTATACAGTTGCCAACCACCAGCACGGATTCCGTCCACAACATAGTACCACAACAGCACTACACGCCATTTCCACACATATTAGTAGAGGACTGAACCAGAACAGGCCGTGTGACAGAACAGTGTTGGTAGCTCCGGACTTATCAAAGGCATTTGATAGGTCAATCATGCTATATTGTTTGAGGACGTGCAGAGAACTACCCTCCGGCCAAGTTTGAAACGTTGGATAATCAACTATATGTGTGGACGCCAGTCGTACGTGGAATCCCGGAACAAGGAATCCAAAGCCCGTAGAGTGAAACAGGGAGTTCCCCAACAGGGAGTTCTCCGGAATTGTTTAACCTCTACCATTCCGGAATTCCTCGCCCTCCAGACGGCATAGAGATCGTAACGTATGCGGATGATTGTACGATCATGGCGTCGGGCCCAGTGGTCGAGGGGAATCTAATACCGACCACGAACTATCCCAAGATTAAAGGGGTCACATTCGACAGCATGTTCAAGTCATCCGCGCAAGCCACAGCTATCTGCGACAAGATGAAAAGTAGGAACAAGGTCCTCAATGCGGTAGCCGGCAGCACTTGGGGTGCGGACAAAGAATCCTTGTTGACCTCTTCCAGTGTGGTCTGCGAATACTAGTGCTACGCAGTGGAAGCACATCCAGACCTGCCAGAACGCTGCCCTGAGAACTGCGACAGGGTGCCTTCCCATGACACCAGTGGAACAGCTACAGGAAGAGGCGAAAGTCCTTCCCTTACGTAAGCATAATCATATGATTTCGTTGCAGTACCTGCTTGGGTACCGTGAGAATCATCCCAACCATCATATGGTGGATAAATCTCCTCCACCCAGGCGTGTCAGGAAGAACATACATGATCTAGAGAGGGAGGTCCAGCGCTACAAGAGAGAACCTCTACATCAAGAAGCCTATCAGGCAGGTTTGAGCGGCATTCATACAGACGCAGTCGCAGATGCTATTAGCAATTATAAAATGAATGTCGTCCTCGGAGTCCACCCCCATCCATTGCAGTTGAAAAACGTCAGCTGCCTAGACAAACCAGGGTAGTTTTGGCGCAATTACGTTCAGGATGTTGTAGTCGTCTCAATTCGTATTGGACACGAATTGTTGAAGATGTGCGTGACGCCTGCCCGGCGTGTGATACAGGCCCGCACAATATGCTGCAACTCTCTAATTGCACAGCCAAACCTACCCAACTCATTCCAGAAAATCTCTGGCTACAGCCCATTAAAGTAGTCGAATTTCTAAACCTGGAGATGGAACCGGATTAGCAGAACGCAATGTACTACTGCTACAACAACAACTACGTCGTATCAGATCTCTTCCCGCCGAGGAGGAACCACCACTGTTTACGATGGGTGATGTTGCAAATGTCATCCAAAGCGTTGGGCCCAGACGGAATCTCAATGGTAATGCTGTAACAGCTGGATACGCCGGAAGTCGAGTACCTAACGAAAGTTCGCAACCCCGCATAGTGCTCGAAGTCTGGAAAATGGGCCGGGTGGTCGCGCTACAATGCCACACTGAGGACGTGCAGAGAAACACCCTCCAGCCAAGTTTGAAAGCTCGGATAATCAACTATATGTGTGAACGCCAGTCGTACGTGGAATTACAAAACAAGAAGTCCAAAGTCCGTAGAGTGAAACAGGGAGTTCCCCAAGGTGGGGTGATATTTCCTGTTTAACATCTAACTTTCCGAAATTAGTCGCCCTCCAAACGGCATGTAGATCGAGGTCCATTAAGGTAAATACCGTATTTATCTAGCGGAGATACGAACCATTCTGTTAACAGAGCCAATAAGAGAGCAATGTAACACTTAGCAGAACACATAGAAAACTTTTTTTATTTATATTCAATTAGCACAGTTACCTAGCCTATAGGGCCATGGGCGGTTCCAAAAACTTTGTATAGACGTTTATTTATTTAATTTATATTTTCTAATGTTTAGTCATCAAAGAATTTATTTTTTTTATGATAAACGATAACTATAACTTTAATTAAAAAATTTACGAAAAGCTGTCTTGCTAACTTGTAGTTGCACATTTATGTGACAGAACATTCACATTAGATAAACTACGTTTTAAAACAATTCTTCCAATCAAAAATGCATATCAATGGAAAGCTTATGAAGAGTACTATCTATTAGAATAACAAAATGTGTAGGAAGATTGGACAGATTCCGAGGTATTTGGCCACTTCTGGCGAAATCCTTTGAATTATAATTCCATTGGCCAATATGCCTTTCAGTAGAATTCTTCCAATTCAATATACAAATCAATAAAATGCAAGGTACAACAAGACGCGCCTGAGTCTTGAGGGTAAAACGCTAACAACTTATCAATTTTATCCACCCTAATTCCATACAGTTCTCATCGCGTTTTAACCTTTCGCCTTAACTTGGCCGGTGTACAGCTAACGATGTATCATTTTAGCCACCCTTACGCCACACAGTCCTCAGCCCGATACAAAATCTTGACTTGAGTGGTGGATTCAGGCTGGATTAATCAGATACATAAATTACAATCGAAATTTCTAAATGTAAATTTTTTGTATTAAATATTGAGTATGAGTAGTGCACTGTATTCTTCTTGTCAAGCCCTTTTATTTGATACCCATATTGTGGGGTTGGTAAAAAATTGTCAGCCATTTGGTAGCGGCGGCCCTCTTAGATATCAGTTTTGCATAGTAAATTGTATTCTATCTGTTGAGACCTTTCATTTGATACCTATGTTGATGGGATTGATAAAACCTATGTTATTCGCCATTTTGTAGCAGCCGCCATCTTGGATTTATAATGATAATGAATAAACATAATTGTCACCAAAATCCAAAGTGTATACAAAATATCAGATTAATCGGTTGAAAGGAAGAGGGTGAAATTTGAATTACTAAACTTGACCCAAGAATAAAACAAACGGAGTGAGGTAAATACAAACATTAAATAATAACAACATGATATGTGTTCTGTTAAGCTTAACATTGCTCTGTTAATTGTTCTGTTAACATAACGGTTCATGTCTCCGCTAGATAAATACGGTGTTTATCTTAATGGACCTCATACCACGTCTGCTGTTTAGTGTAGGCAATCTAATTAATTTTAGGCTGCTACTATAAGGCAAAAGAAAATTATTATTCCAACGTAAGCCCCGTAAGCCAAATGGAAGAAATTGTTTTTGCACGGATTCTATTTTATCTGTGTATATTGCATAATAAAGATACCATACAACAGAACCATTCTAAATTCTAAAGAAAATTCTTTGGTCCACCGTTTAACAAAACCTAGAACACATTTGCTCCATTTACCATCGTTATTTCACGGTTATTAAAATTTAATTTTGGACCCATCAAGAAAGCAATATTGACAAATGAAAATACAGTTGATAATGAATGACCGTATTGCAATATCAGAGGAAAAGATCTGGAGAAGCACATATGCTTAAATTTATATCCATTCTATTTATTTTAAAAGGCTTTTTAAATTTTTTTGAAGTAAATTAGCTTTTTTATCAAAGTTATGGGAAATGAATAATTTAACATCATCTGCGTACAATAGCAATTTGGAGTAATTTATGGAATTTGGTTAATCGTTGATAAATAAAAAGTTAAGCCAACAAGGAAAATACATATACTGTACTTACGTATTTCGCGAAGAAGCCACGATTATCCTTTACTTCACCTCGTTCCCTAGCTTCACGTTCACGTTCAATTTTTTGAATGAATGAAGCCGTATCCGCAACCGGAGCCAATTCGGTATGTTTTATCAGAACTTCAGTGTTATATTGTCTTGTTGATAAACTAAAGTCAAATAATGAACATTCATTTATATCCACTCCTGAGGTCGACAGAGTGATTGCATTAACGAAACCACTACCATCAATTGCAATCCAAAGTTCGTCATTAAGCTGTGCGCTCAAAATACTGCAAGCCTTGTTTGCAGTTGAAAAAGTTCTTTTTACACCATTGGGATATTCAACGATTGCTTTCATACGATAAAATCCATTTTTTACTGCAAGAGACTGAATAGCCATTATTTTAAAGAAATTCATTCATAAAAGTTTATCATACCTTGATCTTCTCTACATCCTCGTTGGACAAATCTTCTTGAACTACATTTGACAAACCTGAATTTAGACTGGGTATTGTAATATTTGCTCTATATTTAAAGATATCCGGGTCATCGCTGTCAAGTGCATGGTGAAGTTCCACATTAATCCAAGCATCATATTCTATATAGGACTGAAAACATAATCCATAGTGGTGGGATGTTTTGGGTGTTGCAACACTTACATGAACAGCAGAAAAAGTAGCTAACAAAAACACTAAATTTATGTATGAACCCATATCGATTCGAAGTCACTTTAAACAATTGGTTAGCATAGAAGAAAGGCAATTGACAAAAGACTTGACACACACTCGATGGCAATACCGATAGTATCGATACTTTTTTTGAAGGTAGTATTGAATCCATGGTAGAAGAATACTATGCTATTCGTAATTCATAGTAACATAATTCCTTTTTTTTTAATGTTTGGTTGTTGATTTTAATGGGAATTTGTATGAAAAGATATGAAATTCGCATTAATATGAATAGAAGATATGATTGTTTTCCCTCTAAAGAGCTTTTTTATGTCTATTTTTTGTCGATGCAAAATTTTTGAAAATCTTTTCTTTCTAGCTTTTTGCAAATATTCCAAATCTTGGACAAAAGTTTTTCTTAAAAAATTTGGAAATTTTATAAAATTTGTCTATTTTGAATTTTTAAAGGTCATCATTTATTTTTTCGATAAATGCTTCCATATGTTATGGATGGCACAGATTTCATATTATGCTTTGTTCTCATTGCATTTATAATCATGTTGTTCGCTCTCAGAATTAGGTTCACGAATTTATCAGTTCATACGGCAGGATTCGTAATTCATAGTGAAAAAATTCATATTTTCAAAAGTTTTGTTGGTTGATTTTAATGGGAATTTATACGAAAATACATGAAATTCTTACTAATATAAATAGAAGAATTTATTGTTTTTCTTCCAAAGATTTTTTATATCATTAATCATACCATTTTATTCATGTTTTCAACTTTTTGTGTAAAAGTTGACATTTTGAACATATTTTTCTATTTTCAAAATCTGCTGGAGATACGCTTGTCAAACATTTTTTCTGCCAATGTAGACATTTTGAAAATATTACCTCTTTTGTTTCCAGTTTTCTGTGTTAAGAAGACATTTAATAATTAATGGTCGAATCAAGCGTCATGCATAATAGCATAAGTTTTTTTTTCAAAATTTTCTGAAAATTACGATCTAAAAATATAATGTTGAATGGCGTATGAACATTCTAACGAAAATAAAATTTGTTCTCTCCCTCGTTCGAGGTACGCTTTTTGTCCAAGAATTGGAATATTTGTACAAAGCTGAAAACAAAAGAGGTACTATTTTCAAAATTTTTTCATCGACAAAAATAGATTAACAAGATTTTCTCCTGCAAAAATAAAAAACTGAAAACATACAAAAATATGTTCAAAATTTACAGAAAAGGGTCAAAACATGAATAAATACTGTAAGAGGAAAAACAATAATTTCTTCTATTCATAATAATGCGAATTTCATATGTTTTCAATTCCCATTTATATCAACAAACAAACATTTCGAAAATGAATTAGGTGTGTCTGGTTACCCTAAAGTTTGTAACAATTGTTACAAATTGTTACTGGAAGTCGTCTGTTAACCCAAAAGTTCTGCAAAAGAAAGCGGTTGGAGAGAGAAATTTTGACAGTTCTTTCAGTGAGAGTTTGCAAATTCTTGCTGGAAAAATTTCTTCGTGCAATCTCTTGCAACTCTTCTTCTTCTCATTCATCGACATTCAATCAGATGTTTTCTATTGTTTATTTATTTCTCTTTGTGATTTTAATTTGAAAATATTGTTTTGGAATTAGCAAGACTATTTGTTTTTAGAGAACAACTTTACAAAATGTGAAAAACGTAAATGTTAATATGTAATAAGAAGATAAAAGACTATTTCCAACATTTTTATTTAAAAAACTTGTAAAATTAGTATTGGTTCCTTTGTTTTAATTCTCCTTATGGGGGACAAAATGGTTTGTTTTGACAAATCAGCTGATTAGTTGCAAGCTTCTGCAGGAATAGCGTCTGTTTACTTTTTGCATTTTCCTTGAAAAAGAGAATAAAACTACCTTACTCTCTCAGAAAGAAGTTGCTGGACAATTCCTGCTGGAAAAGTAACCAGACACACCTATTATGAATTACGAATCGTGCCATATGATCGGGTTAATGGGTGTACCTAATTCTGAGAGCAAACAATAGGTGTGTCTGGTTACCCTAAAATTTGTAACAATTGTTACAAATAGTTACTGAAAGTCGTCTGTTAACCCGAAAGTTCTGCAAAAGAGAGCGATTGGAGAGAGAAATTTTGACAGTTCTTTCAGTGAGAGTTTGCAAATTCTTGCTGGACAAATTTCTTCTTGCAATCACTTGCAACTCTTCTTCTTCTCATTCATCGACATTCAATCAGATGTTTTCTATTGTTTATTTATTTATTTTTGTGCTTTCAATTTGAAAATATTTTTTTGGAATTAGCAAGACTAATAGTTTTTGGAGAACAACTTTACAAAATGTGAAAAACGTAAATATTAACATGTAATAAGAAAATAAAAGACTATTTCCAATATTTTTATTTAAAAAACCTGTAAAATTAGTATTGCTTCCTTTGTTTTAATTCTCCTTATGGGGGACAAATTGGTTTGTTTTGACAAATCAGCTGATTAGTTGCAAGCTTCTGCAGGAATACCGTCTGTTTACTTTTCGCATTTTTCTTGCAAAAGAGAATAAAACTACCTTACTCTCTCAGAAAAATGTTGCTGGACAATTCCTGCAGGAAAAGTAACCAGACACACCTAATGTGATTGAAATTGCAATAGAACATGGCATAAAATGTGTGCAGTATGCTTTAAGCTCGATGTCGAAACACTGAAATGCCAAAATTTCCCCAGAAAATCTCAAACATCGGTATATTTCATAGGTATATTTCAATAAAACGCCAACCAAAATTAATGATCCCATACAAATCAACACTGTTGCAATCTTCGTCAGCAAAAAACGTTATCCGAGCCACGGCATTAAGGCTGCAAATTGTATGTCGCCGAATTTAGAGCTGTCATCGTTTCGGTTTCACAAGTGAACATTGTGACGAAAGGGCCGATACCTCTTTGTCGGATTTGCCGAAAATACAGTTAACAACTTTTGACGGCAGATCAGCGGACTGGGTATCTTTCCACGATACATTTTGTTCCTTGATACACACAAACACCAGCATTACAGATGGTCAAAAGATGCATTATTACGCAGTTGCTTTAACACAGTATGTGAACAGCTTTAATACAGATTTTGCCTCTAAATCATAATCCACAAAAATCCACTATTAGGTACTGCCTTAGTCCGTATCAAGGACGAGTCCGGTAGACTCAACCCACAAGAGCCCTGTTTGATAGCGGATCGCACGCAACTTTTATACCCCGAAAACCCGCATCGCTAACGGTAACAGGCATTGGAATATCACAGGGAGGTGGTGTAAAAGGTAAAGTAGATTTAATACTTTGTCCTAAAACATCTACTAACCTATCAATGCTCTTGTTTTACCAAAATTGACAAACGATTTACCATCCGTGGAAACTCCTACCGTGCCCTGGCCACACATCGAGAATCTACGCGTCGCAGACCCACTTGTTATCACCCTGGTCCCATTGATTTACTATATGATGTCGATGAAATGGACAAATTTATCATTGAAGGCTTTAAACGGGGACCGCCGGGAACATCAATGGCATTTAGGCTGAATTTTATACGGCAATGTTCGCGCGACCTCTCCTAACCTTCATGTTGCAAATCTGCATTGTGACCTGTCACTCGCCAGAGCCGTTAGTAAGTTTTGGGAAATCGAAGAGCCTTGTGCTAAGAGGCATTACACGGCTGAAGAGTTGGCAGGTGAAATGCATTTTAAGAAGACTCACGGCAGAGCTGACGATAGGCGATTGGTCATTCAACTGCCTTTCAGGGATTCTATGGCATTGGGAGAATCTCGCGGGATAACACTGCTTAGCTTGACACGTTTAGAAGCCAGACTAGCCAACGACGCAAGATTAAGGGACCAACACAACGCATTCATGGATGAGCTTCTTTCAATGGGGCATATGGAACTCGTTCCTACAACATCTATACCGGACGGAGCGACGGAGCACTGTTACTACATGCCGTACCATGCAGTGTTAAAGGAAACCAGCTCCACGACAAAACTGTGCGTTGTATTTAATGCGTCGATGAAGACGTCTACAGGTCTATCGCTCAACGATACCCTCATGGTGTGGCCGCAACTACAAGACGATATGTACTCGATTCTGCTACGATTTCGCAAACACCGATTTGCCATGATGGCAGATGTGGAGAAAATGTAGCAGAAAAAGATATTGATTTTCAACGCATCGTTTGGCGTCGGTCTCCCGCAGAATCTATCAAGGACTACCGTTTACTATGAGTTACATATGGTGTAGCTTCCGCATCTTATTGTGCTGTAAAATGCATGCCGCAAACTGCTAACAACGCTAACGAAAGCGTTGTCCGCATTATCACTCGCGATTTTTACATGGACGACATGCTCAGTGGGGCCTCCAGTGAGGAGAAGCTACTATCACTACAATATGAAGTGTCCCAACATCTATCACAAGGTGGATTTGAACTACGAAAATGGGCAACAAATTCCACAAAGCTCATTGAACGCATTCCACAGACGTCTTGCAAACAACGCATCTTCTTGTGGCTGATAAAGAAGTTCGAACATTTGGTAACATATGGAATACTACAGATGACAGCATCTCATTAATCGTCAACTTAAAGGCGTTCCCGCATAATATAACTAAACGCGTATTCCTATCGGACACTAGTATGCTTTTCGATCCATTGGGATTAATGGCTCCATGCACGATTCGATCAAAAATGTGGATGCAAGAATTGTGGAGCGCTAATGTCAACTGGGAGGAAGAAGTGCCTAAGTCTATACTGCGTGAGTGGATAAAGCACCGAAATGATCTTCAAAATTTATTAACGTTATGACTGCCGCTAATTAATACATCAGATACCACAAATACTGAATTTCACTTATTCGGAAGGTAAGAGAAAGCATTGGCAGTGGATTTCGAACGTATTCCTGGACAGATTCAACTGTGGTACTCACGTGGTTGCACAGCCATCCTAGCCGATGGTCAACTTATGTTGCAAACCGCGTGGCAGAGGTCCAAGACGACCTTTGCCCTGAAATATGGAATCATGTACGCTCAGAACACAATCCAACAGATTGTGCTTCTAGAAGCGTCAACGCCAGTCATTTGCTACAACATAATCTTTGATGGAATGGACCCGATTGGCTACGAAGCATCA